GTCTCGGGTGCCTCCCAGTACTGGCTAGATATCTCCTGTGCTTGCACGTCCACTTCAGTTACAGGACGGTCCTCACTGAAGTACGCGGGTGCATGCGTTTCGGCTAGAACACTTTCCTCCACGGCGTCCCCTCCCATGGGCGTTGAGGAGGCAGCTGGTGGGTTCGGGGAGGCGGCATTTCTGGGCAGGTCTGCTGGTTTCACGGTTAAATGCACATCACCGGACAGGCAACGGCGACAACAGCAACCACGACATCCACAACAACGGCAACAGGTTAAGAGGCAGGAGAGAGATGAACGCAATCGAGAAGATTTGCGTTTCCGTTTGCGGTCGTTGGAGGAGGACGGCATGGGATGACGACGGTAGGTCGTTTCCGCATCAGGTTGAGTGCAGGCGGACGAACGGAGGAGGATCGCGTCAGTTGGGTGTTTGAGCGCAGGAAGGGGCGGAGGAGAAGGGGAAGAAGAAGAGAAACGGGACTGTGAGGGGGTTCGCTTTTGGCGAAAGAAATTAAGTAAACTGCCTGACAGGACGGACAGACTGCGACCCCTGCCTCGTGCACACTTCCTGATGCCTAAGGAGGGCCCAGGGACGATGTAATCCATACTCTTAGAGGATGACAGACGCACAGCTGTGCTATCCTCCATTTTTACACTATATTTCCGTATGCCCGTAGGCAAGTTAGGAGAGCCTAGGCTTGGCACACATCGTCACATAAAAATAAGGCGGTATTATGTGTGTCTGTGTGTGCTCTGTCGCTCGTCGCTCACGTCATTTCCGTGCAACTAAATCCTTCGTTTCTTAACCAGTTTGTGTATTTGTGTGTGTGCCTGCGTGCACACTTGAAAACAAAACTGAGCGAGACTGTTGTGGCCTAGGCTAACTTAGACGCAGTTGACACTGGCGATGGCCGAGAATTGCCGGCTTCCTATTGGTTAATCAGTCGACTAAGGAAAACCTGGCCAGCTTGCCGGTGGTGGTGGCGGCGATGGTAACGGGTGCATCATAGATAGTGCCTATCAGCAGTGCCTCATGACCTGAGAGGTCACAGCTGCAGAAGGAAAATAGCACACACACAGACATTTCTTGGTTTGCGAAAGTGGCCGTCACGGGCAGACTGCCTAGTTGGCCGGCATTACGCATTGCCAAAAATGGCAAATTAGACTAACTGTGAGCACTGGTCAGATTCCCGTCAGAAAATGAGTTTACAGATTGCATAGGAAGCAGAATGACGAGAGCCAGTATCAAGGCGTCTAAATCAGACGCCAGCCCCCAAACGGGCCGAATTAATCAAGTAGGTTAGGCAACCTTCAGCATTGCGTAGCCCAAATAAATGACATGGCCATTTTGCACCGTTTGTTTCGGAGAAAAGGGCATAAAAAGGTGCCCATTAAAAACAGCCAATACCATTTGCAGAAACAGCAATCTTGTCTTTAAATTCGCTCTTTTTGTCAAGGAAACGCATTCATCTTAGCTCCTAGGTTATTGGTTACGGGATTTGTAAGGATCCGTTTATTATGCTATACAATATATCACCAGGCTACTATTAATGACTCAGATTGAGTATACTGAGCGTTCCTGATCTCCGAGGTTAAGTTGTGTAGGTTCATTCATGCAAAATCCATATGCATTTTTATAGAAAAAGAATTACGTAAACAAATCTGCAAACAACGTCAACAACTGAGCTGACAATAAAAAAAAA